TTCCCCTCCCCCATTTCTGAAGAAGTGTCTAGGCCCAAAATGTCAGCTTTCCTGCTCCTCTGATGCTGCTTGGCCTGCTGTGTTCATCCATCTCTCCACCTTGTTATCTCCGACACTTGAGCTTATTTTCTTATCGAAGCCCCCTCAGCTCAAGAATAATTTGTTACCCTTCTGTAAATTTTCTGAAGTAATATCCTTACTTTTGAAACGGAATAACCAACATTGCAGCTCAAACATGGAAGTAGAAGTATCAGGAAGAGTTTATTATTCATTGATGGTGTTAAGGTTTATTATAGAGTCATAGAGTCAAACAGCATGGGAACAGACTTTTCCGTCCAACTTGCCCATGCTAACCAGGTACCCTAACCTGAATAGTCCCATTTGCCTGCCTCAGCTCATATCCCTCTAAACCCTTCCTATTCATTATGACCCCTGTTACAGGCAATGATTGTACATCTAGAATAAACCAGTAATGACTTTATGCAAGGAATGGAGGGATATGGACTAAGGGCAGGCAACAGGGATAAGTTTAATTTGGTGTCATGTTTGGCACAACGTTTTGGGCCGAAAGGCCCATTCCTGTGCTGTACTGTTTCGTGTTCTTTGACTTAGTCAACTCTTCTTGGAAATAGAAATAAAAATCTTTTTCATTGGAAGAAATAGCTCAGAGTTGTCACCCTCGTGTCATTGTCACCTGTTTTTTTAAATTGTTTGCAGAGCAATAGACATCTCTGGCTGGGCCATTGTTTATTTTGCCCAACCCTCATTGTCCACATCCCTCCCCAAGATGGTGGTGATAAGTTGTCTTCTTAAGCCTTGCAGTTCATGGGGTTGCAGTAATGACCACAGGGAGGGAGCTCTAGAATATTGACCCAGCGACTCTGAAGGAACGCTGCTATAGTTCCACGTCAGGATTGTGTATAGCTTGAAAGGGACCTTGTAGATGGTGGTGTTCCCAGTTATCTACTGCCCATGTGCTGCTAGGTGGTAGAGGCCATGGGTTTGGAAGGTGTTGTTGGAGAAGCCTGGGTGACTGAGTTTTTTTTTCTGCCCTTGAAGCATTGTCAGCATATTGATTTCAAAATGAGTTTGAATAGACACTTGCAAGTAAGCCTACAGGGCCATAGAGTTGGAGCAATGAATGGGGCTTATTTGTTTCTTTACAGAGAGCTATCTTGGGTGCAATGGGCCAAATGATCTCCTTCTGTGTTACCCTGCATACATATAAAAAGGAACAGGAGTGGGCCATTCAGCCCCTTGAGCTTGCCCTGCTATTTAACAAGATCATGGCTGATCTGGCTGTAATCCAAAACCCATTTTCGCACCTACTTCTGATAATCTCTCACGTTATTGCTTGCCAAGAATTTGAATCGTAACTCTGTTCTATTACCCTGATGTACTTGTGTAAGGTCTGATTTGCCTGGCTAGCACGCAAAGCGATACTTTTCACTCAGTGATCTTGCCACTCCACCGTGGCAAATGGTGGAGTTTGAATTCAATAAAAAAAAAGTTTGGAACTGGAGTCTGGTGATGGCCAAGAGACCATTATCAATTGTTGGAAGGAAGCTGCTGATCTTAATTTTTTTTAAAAAGAGGGTAGTAGAACAGAATGCAGAATACAGTGTTACAGCTTATGGAGAAGGTGCAGAGAAAGGTCAACTCTAATACATGAGAGGCCCTACTGTTGGGTTTTATCTCTGCCATGTATCAAGCCACAGTTCATTTTAATTCATTGTGCACGAAACACAAGCTAGATGTTTCTGGGAGATGGGGCACAAAGTAAAGACCTTTTAAACATTTTGCTGTGTCTGATGAACTGAAATAACATTTCTGGATCTGTAAAATTTCAGGCATCGTTGAAATGGGGCAAAAATTGCCAAGACTACAAGATTGCAGTCAAAACATCGACAGGCCACTTTGAACACCATCCTGCAGTCCTGGTTAAAGCAACATGGGACATAATACCTCAAAGCCTAAAACAAGCTGCAGACAGGTAGGAGCTACTCAAATGAACTAACTGACAACTTTCACTGCATTCCTGCACGCTCAGAGCAATGAGCAGAAGATTAACTCCCCTCGCTTCCCTTACAGCCTGGCTGACCAGATCGCAGCAATCGCTTTCATGTTTGGGTTCTTTGAGAGACATCAAAGGAGTCACACCCATCGGATTTCAGTGATTGCAGCTGCAACATCTCAGCGAACGCTTGATGTCGTGGTGCGAACTCCAAAGGTATTTCCCAATTTTCTTACATTTCCTTTGTACCATTTCTGTTTCATTTATAGGGAGGCGATGGCCCAGTGGTATTATCGCTGGACTGTTAATCCAGAGACCCAGGTAATGGTCAGGGGACCTGGGTTCAAATCCAAATTCAAATTTCAAATTTCAAATTTGAATTTAATAATTATCTGGAATTAAGAGTCTAACGATGACCATGAATCGATTGTCAGAAAAAAACCCATCTGGTTCATTAATGTCCTTTAGGGAAGGAAACTGCTGTCCTTACCTAGTCTGGCCTACATGTGACTCCAGACCCCACAGCACTTCGGGATGGGCAATAAATGCTGGTCTAGTCAGCAATGCCCTCATCCCAAAAAAAAATGAGAAGCCTCCATCAGGAGTCATTCATGACAAATGACACTCACTGTTTTCAGATGTTACACCTGTGACAGGGTTGCCAGATCACACTGTCACCACCATTTATAGAATCCCTTCAGTTTGGAAACTGACCATTTGGCCCAACACCAACTCTCCAAAGAGTATCCCACCCAGACTCACCCTATCCCTGTAATCCTGCATTTCCTATGGCTAATCCACACATACCCGGACACTACGGCATGACCAGTCCACCTAACCTGCACGTCTTTGGACTGCAGGAGGAAGCCCATACAGACACTCCACACAGTGGAGAGAGTGCAAACTCCACACAGTCAGTGACTTGAGGCTAAAATTGAACCTGGGTCTCTAGCGCTGTGAGGCAGCAGTGCTAACCACTGAGCCACCATACCACCCCACTAGGGACAAATCTTCCCTTTCTTAAAAGGCAATTCCTGAAACCAAATGTAGTGACCAAATGATACTCAGGTTGAGCAAGGGTGACCTGGGATCAAGCCTTAAATCTTGTCATTAAAGCTTAGGCAGATATTGTGGCTCAGTGGTAAGGTAAAAGGTGATTGGTTTGATTTCTGCCCAAGAAAGTGTAGTGCCCAATCTAGTGTACCTTTCATAGAGTTTATGTGTCTGTCTAAAAGCCTCTTAAATGTTGATATCGTATCTGATTCTAACACATTGTTGGGAAGGTGGTAGAAGCAGATACAATAGTAACATTTATGAGGCGTTTAGACAGACATGAACAAGCAGCTAATAGAGGGATAGAGGGATACAGACCATGGGTAGGCAGATGGGATTAGGTTGGAATGGCATCATGGTCAACACAGGCATGGTGGGCCAAAGGGCCTGATTGAGTGTTGCACAGTTCTATGTTCTAGTGTATCGCCACTAATTGTTAGAGCACAGAAGGAGGCCATTCGACCCTTTGTGGTAGCTGTACTGGCTCTCTGGATGAACAGTATGCCACCCTTTGACCTTCTCCCCATCACCCTGCACAGTTTTCCTTTACCAATGACTATCTAATTCCCTTTTGAATGTTTGTTTAAAAACTTTGTTTTTGTTCCTGATTTACAGCATCCACAGTTCTTTTGGTTTTTACCATGAATCCATTGCCGATTGTTGGAAAAACCCATCTGATTCACTAATGTCCTTTAGGGAAGGAAACTGCCATCCTTACCTGGTCTGGCCTACATGTGACTCCAAACCCACAGCAATGTGGTTGACTCTTAACTGCCCTCTGGGCAGTTAGGGATGGGCAATAAATGCTGGCCTAGCCAATGACGCCAATGAATGAAAACGAAATTGCTTTTGCAGAAACCTTAAATCTACTTATTATGCGCAGGTTTAGGATTTAATCGGAGAAGTTTTCACCATCAGAGTTTTAAATCAAATCCACCACTTCACGTCAGCTCTGCTGAAGTGTCATCTAGCCTCAAAATGTTAGCTTGCTCTCTCTCCACTGATGCTGCCTGACTCACTGAGATTTTCAGCAAATTTTGTTTTCAGTCCATCATGATGCTGTTTCTTTTTCCATTTAGCATGTCTTCAGTCACAGAAACCTTCTCATTCCAGTACCATTACCTTTCGATGTGAACTCTCCCTCAGTGCAGCAAAGAGGACTGCTTGTCCTTGCTGATTTACCTGCCATGGTTTCACCAACAAACACAGGTACATTATTTTATTCTGTCTACTTTTGTATTCTACTTTATTAGAGCCCAGATGGTGAAATAAAGTGTATCAAAGAACTCACAACTGGAGTAGAGTCATAGAGTCATTCATACAGCACAGAAACAGACCCAACTAGTCCATGCCGACTCTGTTCCCAAACTAAACTAATCCCACCTGCCTGCACTTGTCCCATATCCCTCCAAACATTTCTTATTCATGTACTTATCCAAATGTCTTTTAAACATTGTAACTGTACCTGCTGCCATCACTTTCTTTGGCAGGTCATTCCACACACAAACCACCCTCTGGATAAAAAAGTTGCCCCTCATGTTCTTTTATTATCTTAATATTATATTGTTATTAATTTAGATTGTATTGTCTAAATTGTTGGGAAGGGCTTCTACACACAGAGGGTGGCAGAGGCTGGGAACTCTCCTCCACAAGGAGAAGTGGGTGTTTGATCTGTTGTTAATTTTAAATCTGGGATAGATAAAGTTTTGTTGCACAAAGGTATTAAGGGATATGAGCCAAAGGCAGGTTTATGGAGTTAGGCCACAGATCAGCCAGGATCTCATTGAATGGCGGAGCAGGCTTGAGGGGCTCAAAAGCCTACTCATTTCCTGTGTTCCCATGTTCTTAACTCTGTACTGTCGCATGTGTAAATTGCCTTTAAGAGTGTTCTCCTTTAAGGATTCCATGTGCATTCCATGTCGTGGTTCTGCCTGGCAGTTAGTCTGTTGTTGGTTTTCCAAGCCGCGCACACAGAGATAGGTTGATTTGCTGTAATGTCTGCTTCATAACTTATAATGTGTTTTATACTTTAAAATAAACTAACACACAGAGTTAATCAATCCCTAGTATTGGCTTTAGAAAGCTTCTGATCACAGATCTCTAACATAGACAGTCAACTATTTGTAAGTCATTTTCTGATAGTTAAATGAGTTTGTTAAGGAACAGCAGCTTAGATATGACACTAATTATTCGATATTTTATGTCATATCATTATGTTATGATATAACATTACCTGGTTAGATAAAGAAAATATTCAACCATGATAAGTGGGGACAGTTCACCGATATCAGAGAACAAACAGGCTGTCAATGTGGAATGTTTAGGTCTTGTTATACCGGTGGAGGCAGCATCTTGTTTTCGAGTCAAGGTGTTAGGGCACTCTTCCTTTGTCTTCTTTCTCTTCTCCTGGTCCATCTTCATCTGCCGGATGAGGACTTCTCGATGAACACTGCTCTTTGGGAGCAATCCCGATGAGAACTGCTGCCTACAAGATCTGCTTGATAAGTGCCCAAAAAGATTTGCGCTCTACCCCAGGCACGTATCATATTTCTAGGGGCAGGCAACGAACATTGTGTCAATCAATTGTCTGACCCCTCTGATTTGATTTGATTTGATTTGATTGATCTTTTTGTCACGTGTACCGAAGTACAGTTAAAAGCTTTGTTTATGAGCACTGCAGGGAGATCATAGTGAGTGGGGACATTCAGATCATTGGTGGAAAAGAAATGTACTTGGACAGAGGCATACAGATTACACTGCACAGGGCATGCGCTAGGCAACATCAACATTAGCAAGATCAGCGTTATTTTAAGTTAGAGAGTCCATTCGTCAGTCTAATTTCAGCAGGGAAGAAGATGTTCTTGAACCTGCTGGTGTGTGTGTTCAAGCTTCTGTATCTTCTGCCTGATGGAAGAGGCTGTAGGAGGTCATTACCAGGGTGCGATGGGTCATTGATGATGTTGACTGCCTTTCCGCGGCAGTGAGCCATGTAAATAGAGTCCATGGATGGAAGGTTGGCTTCCGTGACGGTCTGGGCTGTGCACACCACCTTCTGTAGTTTCTTACGGTCCTGGGCAGAGCAGTTGCCATACCAGGCCGTTATGTACCCAGATAGTATGCTTTCAATGGTGCATCTGTAGAAGTTGGTGAGGGACTTTATGGACATGTCAAATTTCCTGATCTGCCTGAGGAAGAAGAAGCGTTGTTGTGCCTTCTTGACTGTCGCACCTACATGGGAAGTCCAGGACAGGTTGTCGTTTATTGTCACTCCTAGGACTTGAAACACTTGCCAATAGCCATGGAACAGCAACTCATGATGTCAGGGACCATTGTCACCTTGTCTACTCCATTCAAAAGTTAGTCTTCATTTCTTCTAAAAACAAACCCTTCTGATTTTCAAAAAACAATTCGCTGATAATAGTGTGTGTGTATGTGCGCGCGTGTGTGTGCACGTGTGTACGTGTGTCTGTGCATGTGTGCGTGCGTGTATAGGTATAAGTAAGAGTGAGAGTGACAGTGACAGTGAGTGTGAGATTGAGAAAGAAGGACAATCTGCTGTTATGTTCCCCAAAACTACATGGCCAGGCAACACAAGCTGATGACACTTCACAGAAGAGCTGCCTCTTACTGAGTTACTGAAAACATCCTTGAAATTCGATCTCAGGAATCGATTCTTGCAGAAGAGGTGAGAGATATTGGAAAGAATGAAATCTTTCCCATTACAAGACTCACTCCCCTGAATTGGGTGCCATTTGGTTGATCATATTAACTGCCCATTGAACAACACCTTGAGAAAGCAATAGTGGGTTTTCCCACTATCTCCTGGAGTCTTTGTGCAGCTAATGTGGGCTGGTAGGGATGTCCAGAGTATCAACACAGAGCTGATGAAGAAATGGTGATGTATGTTTGTGTCTGTGTGACTCAGACAGGACCTTAACAGAGACGGTGTTCCCACTGCATTGTTACTGTTCCCTTTCTGAGCAGGAGAAGTCACAGAGTGAGGCAAGTTCAGTCACAGTGAGTTTCGAAAGCCAATGCATTCTGCAGATGGTACCCAGAGTGCCACTGATGAAGGGCTAAATACTAAATGCAGTGCCGTCAATGTGTGCTGTTAATTTTCTGATAAGATTAGCTTACTAAATGCTCAGGCGTCAACGCAAAACCAGTTTGTTAATAGTCAGGAATTCATTACGGAAATCCAAGCAATAATTGTGGTGTTTTTTTCTGTTTTGCAGCTGAGTGCAGAGTCTTGCAAAACCAATTCAACCCATTTAGCAAGGAGTGTTTTGAGTACGAAATGCCTGAAGGTTGCGCTCATGTATTGGTCCAAGATTGTACTCCTGAACTGAAGTTCATCATACTGATAAGACGCAGTGCAGAATCTCTGTTTGTACAGCTGAATTTGCCTTCTAGGTAAGGGACACCAAAGTGCATGAGAAGCATTCAATATGCTCACACTTCTGATTAACACATTGTTTTTTTCTTTTGTAAAAGTCAAGTAGAAATACAATCGACAGTAGCAGGAAACATCCAATTGTTCATAAATGGAGCCAAAACACCAGCCAGAAGACTATCACTTCCAGGTTCGAGTAAATAACTTTACTTCTTCAATTTCAATGTGAAAAGTCTTGCTCTCACACAAGCTCTCGAGTGCTGCAGAGAAGGGACATAGTGTGGAAGAACTGAATTATGAATTACTTTGCATTGCAAAATATAAGACTTTAATCTGAATAATCATAAATTTCAGGGCTCAAACTGATTTGCCTCCATCAGGAAGCAGCTTATTAAAGATGTTACTTCCCTTTCGGCTTGTGACTGATTCTGTGTAACGGTGATTTTTGCTTTTTCCAGGATCCTTGGTCATTGACAGCAGTGACAATGATCTGAAGATCAAAGCACCAGAAGTTGGCCTTGAACATCTCTTCTTCGACGGCAAAGAGATTAGGGTGCTTGCCATTATCTTTCTTTCAGATCAAGAAAAATGTAACTTTTTTAAAAAGAGTTTAATCTGTGAACTGTAGAAACCTATGACTATACATCAGGGGCTTCAATGTATTGTACCAAAGCTGACCCCTCGGCACAATGCTGAGGGCTGAGGAAAGGGGTTTATATCATTTCTCTATCGGTGAAGACGCCTCAGGGATCTTAGATGATTCACTGTGTTCAGAGTTGGGTGAAGCCCCTGTGTCCAGTTCGGACACAAGGCTCCTGTGCTGGTATCAGGCATAAAGTGAGAATGGAGGGAGTTAGTTTAGAGTATGGGCAGCAAGACCCTGAAGAGGAGCAGCACCGGTGTACCTGATTTTTGTCCCCGGACCTGTGAGACAGGGAAAGGGGTCGGTGTAGTATTAGCGTAGTGATTGTAACAAGGTCAGGCAAAACTGCTCCTCATAAAATATGAGTTCCTTGATTGGGGCTGTTAATCTGGTCCAAACAGGGAGCCCTGGCTTACATAAAAGGATGAACATCAGGGATACTGAGACTCTGAATGCCTAATTCAGTGAAAGGCAGTGCTATTGTCAAAGGCTTTTGTATATAAAGGGTGATTGGTGATGGGATGCCAGGCTCTTAAGATTTCTGTTATTCCCAGTAGAAGGAAACAGTAATACTAGCCTGGTTGAAACAAGCTATCAGTATTTAAGTGTGTCCAATAAAAAAAAGGGCAACCATTAGATTCTCTCCTAGTTCTAGGCAGTCAGTACAAGTAACTTTTCAGTTTGCTGCCAGGTGGGTACAGTTCTTGGCGGTATCTTCTATGAAGGCTGGTACTACCAGCTCAATAAATAAGGCAGCTTCCAGTCTTCTTGAAGCTTACATCACACATCTCTGTGGTTTTAATTGAATTGTTCCCCACAATGGTTTTAATCTTTCTGTGCCTTCTGACTTTGATATGGATTTTAAACATTTTATTAGTGAATCAAACTCTATTTTCTTACCTCCTATCATAAACCCCTACGTGAGCCAAGTCAGGCACATCAGACGATGGAGAGTAGTAGGACAGTGTGACTTTAAATCTGAGAGAACTGAGGGGTTTAAAACCATTCTGTTCATCATAGCTATGTTTACTATTTTATTCACTCATGGATATGGGGATTACTGGCTGGGCCAGCGTTTACTGGCCATCCTGACTAGCCCTTGAGAAGGTGCTGGTGAGCTGCCTCCTTGAACCGCTGCAGTCCTCCTGCTGTGGGTTGACCCACAATACCCTTAGGGAGGGAGTTCCAGGATTTTGACCCAACGTCAGTGAAGGAACAGCGATACATTTCCAAGTTAGGATAGTGAGTGAGTGGCTTGGAGGGGAACTTTCAGGTGATGATCTCCCCATGTATCTGCTGCCCTTGTCCTTCTAGACGGAAGTGATAGTATGTTTGGAACGTTCTGGAGCTTTGTTGAATATTGCAATGCATCTTGTAGATAGTACGCACTGCTGCTCCTGAACATCAATGGTGGAGGGAGTGGATGCTTGTGGATGTAGTGCCAATCAAGCGGGCTGTTTTGTCCTGGATGGTGTCAAGCTTCTTGAGTGTTGTTGGGGCTGCACTCATCCAGGCAAGTTGGGGGGTGGGGGGTGGAGGTTGACGTTCCATCACACTCCAATTTGTACCTTGTCACTGATGATGGACAGGCTTTGGTGAATCAGGAGGTGTGTTATTTGCTGCAGAATTCTTAGCCTCTGACCTGTTCTTGTAGACCCTGTATTTAACTCACTATCAATAATCCCTTGTCTACCTACTGCTTTCATATCTCTCTCTCTCTCTCTCTGGGCTCTACCTCCACCTATCTGCTCACCTCTCCCCCCACCCCACCCCCAATCCCATCTTCACTATAAATACCACATTTTCCTCACTGCTTCATCAGTTCTGATGAAGAGTCATCGGACCTAAAACGTCAACTCTGTTTTCTCTCTACACATGCTACCAGACCTGCTGAGTTTCTCCAGCAATTTCTGTTTTTGTTTCAGATCTCCAGCATCTGTAGTTCTTTGCTTTGTTTTAGACACCATATTTATGTGGCTAATCCAAATCAGTTTCTGGTCAATGATAACCCCCAGGATGTTGATGATGGGGGATTCAGTGATGGTAATACCATTGAATGTCAAGGGGCAGTGGTTAGATTGTCTCTTATTGGAGATGGTCATTACCTGGCATTTATGCGATGGAAATGTTACTTGATTGGCCTTGAATGAAGGATTATCCTGTAATTTCATGAAATTCTCCTTCTGCCTCTCCAATCCAGGTCTCAGTGATGCCATCGATGGCTGAGAGCACATGTGGACTGTGCGGACAAAGTGATTCCCAGAGGAGAAATGAGTATCAACAACCAAATAAACGCATCACCAGAGAAATTCTGAAATTCGCCCACTCGTGGTTGCTGCCAGGGGAAAGCTGTAAAGACGGTAAAGACACCCATTCCAATTTCTGCATGTAGGAATTTTGGCATCCTGGGATCTTCCAGATATCAATCTGGTTAGCTTATCCCAAATACTTGCCAACAGAACATTCCTGATGAATTAGGACCAATGTGTCTGGATATGATTTCCATGTTCAAAAGGATTTGCAACTGAATCATTTTCTTCATAGCATTCAGTGGTGACTTATAAACTTTTCACTGTACTCTATTGAGTACACGGAACGATAAAGCTAATTCATACATTCATTCATTCATTCAATATATGAAGAGAGCTTGAACAGACTGGGGTTGTTTTCCTTCAAGCAGAGGAGACTGAGAGGGAACGTGACTGAGATATATAAAATTGTGAGGGGTGGGAGACAGGAAGAAACTGTTCCCTTTGATGGAGGGATCATTGATGAGAGGGCATGGTTTTAAGGGAAGGAGCAATAGGTTCAGGGGGGATGTGAGGACAAACTTTGTCACCCAGAGGGTGGTGGGAATCTGGAACTCACTCCCCTTAAGAGTGGTAAAGGAAGAAACCTTCGCAACATTGAAAAAGTATTTAGGTGTGCTCTTGTGATGCCAAGCCATACAAGGATATGGGCCAAGCACTGGAAAATGGAATTAGATTGATTAGGTAGGTTTTTTTTTAATAGCATAGACTTGATGGGCCAAAGGGCCTTTTATTATGCTGTAGACTCTATGCCAGTATGACTGTCAGCCTGTAATTCCTTCCAATACACCTAAGGTAGGGTATAAGAACAGGAGGGTTTCCTGGTCAACCAGAACAATGGCGTAGCTGCCAGCCTCCCCACATTAAAAGACTCACGTGCGAGGACCTGACTCTGTTGAGGGAATGTTGGAGAAAAATGCAGCAGGACAGCCCTACAATAATTAACCTGTCTCCCCTACCCACATAGTGACACCGTACACCAAGATGCACTGCCTCTCAATACAGCTGAGGCTGGAAGAGCACATAATTGTTCTAGTCAGCTTTCTTTAGTAAATTGGTGGCACGGTGGCTCAGTGGTTAGCACTGCTGCCTCACAGCACCAGGGACCCAGGTTCAATTCCACCCTTGGATGACTGTCTGTGTGGAGTTTGCACATTCTCCATGTGTCTGCGTGAGTTTCCTCTGGGTGCTCCGGTTTCCACCCACAGTCCAAAGATTTGCAGGTTAGGTGGATTGACCATGCTAAATTGTCCATAGTATCCAGGGATGTATAGGCTAGGTGGATTAGCCATGGGAAATATGGGGAGAAGGGTCTGGGTGAAATGCTCTTCAGTGGTTCAGTGTGGACTTGATGGGCATCAACCACTATTTGAGGAAGAGTTCCAAACCCATGCTACTGTTTGCATGTAGAAGTGCTTTCTAACATCTCTCCTGAATGGCCTATCTCTAATTCTCAGACTATGCCCCCTGGTTCTAGAATCTTCAACTACTGGAAGTAGTTTGCCTTTATCTCTGCTGTCTTTCCCTGTTAATACCTTGAAGACCTGGATTAGATCACACTTAACCTTCTAAATTCTAGAGAATAAAGGCTTAATTTGACTCATAACTTAATCCCTGAAGTCCAAGAACCATCTTGTAAACCTGCATTGAACTCTCTCCAGGGCCAGAATATATTTCCCAAGGTGTAGTGCCCAGATCTGCTCACAGTTCTCTAACTGGTGTCTAATTAGGACTTTGCATAACACGAGCATAATGTTTGCATCCCAATGCTCCAGCCCTTTAGATATGTAGGCCAGCATTCCCTTAGCCGTCTTGACTATTAAAGTCCATAAAAATTCTTAAATATGAAGCATCTTCAAAATATTGTCCTCTTGCCTCTTATGACAGGATGATATCACATAATGTTCCATCATTAACATCTCAACTGATTACATCTTGTGCAAATATGGGAAATTCTAAAACAAATTCCAGAAATAGCCCATTGGAAACTAAAAAAAAATGTCTCCAGCCCAAACTCTGGCTCCTGTTAGAACTCTGCCACCCAACGCTGATTCATGACAAAAATCCAGGTCTCAGAGCCATCAGAAGCAACCTGCTAACTCTAGTTATCATGCATGATGGTGGGCAGTAGCTAACTCTTGTCTCAACTATTCTTTCAGCTTGTAAACTGATGAAACAGACCATGAAGCTGGAGAACTCAGTTGACATACACGGACAGGAATCCAAATGCTACACTGTTGACCCAGTTTTACGCTGCCAGGTTGGATGCTCACCGGTTCAAACAGTCCTGGTTGACTATGGCTTCCACTGCCTTCCAGCTGGTATGTTTCCTTTTTTGTTTGTGTGCCTGTGCTGTTCAGTTTGTTATTCCATAAGTGAATGAATATGATATTGTGGTCATTGCAGAATAGAATAATAAGATGGACAAGGAAACCATTTGGTCCATTATAACTGTGCCAACTTGTGTAAGACCTGCCCAAGTGGGTCCACTTTCCCTGTTCTTTCCTCATAAACCTAGTTAATTATTGTCAAGTATGCATCTTCTCTCTTTTTGAAAGCTACAAATGACACCTCATAAAGAAGATTAGACGCAGTGTTGCAGCTGAGACGTAACTAACCATTTACAGATGTTTAATATCCTTGCCTTTCTAAAAACAAAATCATTCATGGGATGAGGGTGTCGCTGGCTAGGCAACATTTATTGCCCATCCCCTAATTACCCAGAGGGCAGTTAAGAGTCAACCACATTGCTGTGTGTTTGGAGTCACATGTAGGCCTGACCACGTAAGGATGGCAGTTTCCTTTCCTCAAGGAACATTAGTGAACCAGGTGGGTTTTTCCCCACAATCAACAATGGACTCATGGTCATCACTAGTCTCTTAACTCCAGATTTTCACTGAATTCAAATTCCACCATCTGCTGTGGCAGGATTCAAACACAGCGCCCAGGAGATCACCCTCGACTCTGGATTAACTGTCCAGTGATAATACCAGCAGGCCATTGCCTCCCTTGTTTTATATTCTTTGCCTCTATTATTGAAGCTGAGGATCCCCCGTATCTTTTAATAATCTCTTCAACAGAAACAACTTTTTTACAACTCCATATACAATAGAAAAGTGAATTGTGCAAGGCCAGTTAGAGTGGGTTTGAGATTTGGAGGGCATTTAAAATGAGTGCTAGCCATCTACATGCTTTCCCAGATGAAGTATGTTGATCTATCTGTAATTCTCATTGACCTCCACTTCGTGCCCATCACCAGACATGCTGCTTTCAAAATCCTCTCCATTGTTTAGAAATCTCTCTGTACACCCGCCCTTGGTAGCATTCTTCAGCTTTGTGTTTTGCCCTTCTAATCCACAGTCTGCCCACCTCAACAATAACAGAATCTTCCATCAGTGTTTTCTTGCAATCTAAAACTCTCTTCCTAAATTCTCATTGACAGGGTGGCAGAGTGATTAGCACTGCTGCGTGGGTTTCTTCCCACAGTCCAAAGATGTGCAGGTTAGGTGGAGTGACCATGATAAATTGCCCATGTTGTCCAGGGATGAGTAGATTAGGTGGATTAGCCATGGAAAATGCAGGGTTACAGGGATAGAATAGGGGGTAGGATTGGGTGTGATGTTCTTCAGCGGGTCGGTGTGGATTCGATGGGCCGAATGGTCTGCTTCTTCACTGCAGGGATTCTATGAATCTAAATCCCTTCACCTTTGGTATCTTCTTCACCTGAGGATCCCCTATTGGTTTCATACAATTTATTTGGATGTTTTGGCACTATTTGAAGAAAAGGGAGAAGTTCTCCTGTTGGTCACTGGCATCATTATATGGGAAGTGGTTTGAGATTCTTCTGGGAGACTTGTCAACAGTCTCCTTGTCTCAATAACAGCTGTGTCACTATAATACACCAGGTAACCTCACCCACTCCCAGGTCAAACTAAACATGAATTAATTATTTTGCAGATTCTCAGGCGAATCCAAGTGATGAGCAGCTGATATCCGCCAACTTTGGTCAAAAGAGTGAAGACTTGATAGGCACTGTTGAAGCTCACACTGCCTGTTCATGCCCTTCCAACTGTAGCTAAGCAAATGATTGGAATTTCTGTCGATTTGATACAGAGGCTGTAACCAAAGATTTGTACAACTGTTGCAATTAAAGAGATAAAGACGCAATGAAATAAGGACACATTCAATAATGTTTTAAATGAATTCATTTTAGACGCACTGATTTGTCATTTGTAGAATTAAATAAATCAGCTTTCAGCAAGCAAATCAATGTATCATTGAGCACACAATTTGTACATTGCGCATAATCTGCTTTACAGTAAATCATTTTTTTAAAAATAACAGCTTTATTTGCAAAGTGAGATGCTGGGTTGGAAAGGACCACAGATATATATCACAGATATACACAGCAGAAGATTCTTATCTGTTGTGTTAGACAGGGGAACGGGGATGGCTGCTACAACTGACCTTGACACTCCTTGACTAATGAAGGGAAAGTCCGTGTGTGTGTGTGTGTGTGTGTGTCTGTGTGTGAGTGTGTGTATCTGTGTGTGTGTGTGTGTGTGTGTGTGTGTGTGTCCAGTTCTGAAAAGTCAAACCAAACTGAAAACGTTAACTCTGTTCTCTCTCCAACCTGCTCAGTTTTTCCAGCATTCTTCATGTTTGGTTTCGATTTCCAGCATCTGCAGTATTTTGTGTGTAATGAGTAGGAAATATCTTAGAGTCACAGAATCATTCGGCACAGATAGAGACCCTTCAGTCCAACTCGTCCATGCCGACCAAGTTTCCTGAACCAATTGAGTCCCACTTGCCCGCATTTGGCCTATATCCCTCTAAATCTTTTCTATTCATGTGCCTGTCCAAATGTCTTTTAAATGTTGTAACTATACCTGCATCTACAACATCCTCTAGCAGTTAATTCCACATATGAACCACCCTCTGAATAAAAATGTTGCCCCTCTGCTCCCTTTTAAATCTTTCGCCTCTCACCTTAAAATTTTTGAAGTTATGTTCACTAAACGTAACCATCTTGGTCATGGGGTCAATAGATGGCTTGAGACCGATCTGTCAGCTCCTTGGGTGAAGAATCCAGTAGCAGCGATAGAAGCTGATTCCAATTTTAGAGGTAGGTACAGTTACAACATTTAAAAGACATTCAGAGAGGTACATGAATAGGAAAGGTTTGGAGGGATAGTTTAGTCTATGGACATGTTGGACCAAAGGGTCTGTTTCCATGCTGTATGACTCTATGATTCTATGATTCTAATCACCCTTGGCTCCCACTCTCTTCTGAAGATGGGTTTTAAGTGACTCCTTATCCCTCATTGCCCACAGGCATCTCTCCCCATGCTTCCCTGTACCACCAACGCAGCATTGGTCAATCTGCAATTTTATGCCCTACTTTACGATCCTGTTAGACAGCATTCATGTTGAAAGAGAAATTTGAACATGTAGGAATAAATTGAAAGCAATATATCACTAAATTTCACGTTGTGAAACAAAAGAATTTTTAAAAGAATCGAACAAAACCAGCACCAATAACTTAATAACAGAGATAACAAGGTGCAGAGCTGGATGAACACAGCAGGCCAAGCAGCATCAGAGGAGCAGAAAAGCTGACGTTTCGGGCCTAGACCCTTCTTCAGAAAATAACTTAATCATTTGTTGGTTCCAATTCTTTTCTTCCCTGAAATTATCCCTCATTTATTTACAAGAATCTGGAAGATTTATTTGCTTCTTCTGGGACCAACCCAAAGACATGTCACAGCTATCCAAATTCACATTAGATCTCCTTAGAGTTCCCATTATTTTCAGAGATGTAAGATTTTGACTTTTCTATTCGCTTTTGATAAAGGAACACTTAAACTTTCCTTTCAGACATCAAAACTGTGGATTCCTCCATTCAAATGTGATCTTCATTACCTCCTTGATCAGGGATTTAAACATCAGGAATACCCTGGTTCCTAATGGCCTTCAATGCTTCCTGTTCTAGATTTGATAGACAGCAACTGTTTTTCTCCGTTTGTTCCCACAGCTTCTGCTTCCATATGTAACTGACTAAGGTAAATGCTTCCAAGCCAAATGCATAGAAACACATCAACTAGGAACAGAAGTAGGCCATTCGGCCCTTCAATCCTGCTCCAATATTCTCAGTCTTAAATGGCAGACCACTGAGATTGCAACCTCTGATTCTAGATTTTTCCCAACCATCTAATCCGTCCAGATCTGTTAGAACTTTATTTTCTCATTGGCAATCAATGGCTTGTGTTGTGCCTCAGGGATCAGAATTGGGACTGCAATTGTTTATAATTAACATTGATGATTTATAGATGGGGACCACGTGCGGTGTGTCAATTTTTGCGGATGACACTAAGATGAGTGGCAGACCAAACTGTGCAGTGGGCACTGAAAGTCTGCAGAGGGATATAGATAGGTTAAGTGAGTGGGGAAAGGTCCGGCAGATGAAGTACAATGTTGGTAAATGTGAGGTCATTCATTTTTGTAGAAATAACAGTAAAAAGGGCTATTATTTGAACGGTAAAAAGTCGCAGCATGCTGCTGTGCAGAGGGACCTGGGTGTCCTTGTGCATGAATCACAGAAGGTTGGTTTGCAGGCACAGCAGGTAATTAAGGCAGCAAATGGAATTTTGTCCTTCATTGCTACAGGGTTGGAGTTTAAAAATAGGGAGGTTATGTTACAGCTCTATAGGGTGCTGGTGAGTCTACACCTGGAGTGTTATGGACAGTTTTAGTCTCCTTACTTGAGAAAGGATGTACTGGCACTGGACAGGATGCAGAGAAGTTTCACTAGGTTGATTCAGGTGTTGACAGGATTGGTTTATGGGGAGAGATTGAATAGACTGGGACTATACTCATTGGAATTTAGAAGAATGACAGGGAATCTTATAGAAACATATAAAACAATGAAGGGAATAGACAAGATAGAAGCAGGGAGGTTGTTTCCATTGGTTGGTAAAATTAGAACTAGAGGGCATAGCCTCAAAATAAGGGGGAGCAGATTTAGGACTGAGCTGAGAAGGAACTTCTTCACCCAAAGGGTTGTGAATCTGTGGAATTCCCTGCCCAGTGAAGCATTTGAGGCTACCTCGTTGAATGTTTTTAAGGTAAAGATAGATTTTTGAACAGTAAGGGAATTAAGGGTTATGGTGAGTGGGCAGGTGAGTGGAGCTGAGTCCATGTGGACTCACTACGTGGATGACACCTTTGTCATCATTAAACGGACCAAACTGGAGGAGACACACGAACTAATAAACAACACCCTCACCAAAATCAGATTCACCAGAGAAGGGGAGATGAACAAACAGCTCCCATTCCTGGACGTCATGGTAGAGCACAGGACAAATGGGGAATTCCTAACAAAAGTATGCAGGAAAGCCACACACACTGACCAAGTACTGAATTTCAATAGCAATCACCCTAACACACACAAGTGAAGTTGCATGAGAACATTATTTAAATGGGCAACAACAACACTGCAGCAGCACAGACCTACACCAAAAAGAAGAAGAATACCTTTTCCAGGTGTTCAAGGACAATGGTTACCCAAACAACTGGGTCAGAAGATGCCTATCACACGAATGACACCAGAAAGATACTACACACCCCGACACACTCATCATGCTAGCTTACATCAGGAACACATCTGAACTGACCACAAGACTCCTACGACCACTGGGCATCAGAGTAGCACACAAACCCACATCAACCCTACGACAACTGCACACCCGAACCAAAGACCCACTCCCCACTATGGACAGGACCAATGTCATCTACAAGATTCCCTGCAAGGACTGTGACAAACACTACATCGGACAAACAGGAAGGAAATTAACAACAAGGGTACAGAAACATCAATTGTCTACAAAAAGACACGACCAATACTCACTCATCTCTAACCACATGGTTAAGGAGAACCACCAATTCGACTGGGACAACACCAAGATCCTGGGACAAGCAAAGCAGAGACAGGCACAGGAATTCCTAGAAGCCTGGTACTCCATGAAGAAAGCCATCAACAAACACATAAAACTCGACCCCATATACACTCCACTGCGAAGGAAAATCAGAAGTGAGGTAATCCAGCTCAACGAATTCCAAAGTTTAAATACCAGGTTGGAAAACAAAATGGCGCTTCGTCGGAGGCTGCACTGAGGATGTTACCCAGCATAGAACATAGAACATAGAACATTACAGCGCAGTACAGGCCCTTCGGCCCTCGATGTTGCACCGACCTGTGAAACCAATCTGAAGCCCATCTAACCTAAACTATTCCATTATCATCCATATGTTTATCCAATGACCATTTAAATGCCCTTAAAGTTGGCAAGTCTACTACTTTTGCAGGCAGGGCATTCCACACCCTTACTACTCTCTGAGTAAAGAACCTACCTCTGACGTCTGTCCTATATCTATCACCCCTCAATTTAAAGCTATGTCCCCTCTTGCTAGCCATCACCATCCGAGGAAAAAGGCTCCCACTGTCCACCCTATATAATCCTCTAATCATCTTGTATGTCTCTATTAAGTCACCTCTTAACCTTCTTCTCTCTAACGAAAACAGCCTCAAGTCCCTCAGCCTTTCCGCATAAGACCTTCCCTCCATACCAGGCAACATCCTGGTAAATCTCGTCTGCACCCTTTCCAATGCTTCCACATCCTTCCTATAATGCGGCGACCAGAACTGTACGCAATACTCCAAGTGTGGCTGCACCAGAGTTTTGTACAGCTGCAACATGACCTCATGGCTCCGAAACTCAATCCCTCTACCAATAAAACCTAACATACTGTACGCCTTCTTAACAACGCTATCAACGTGGGTGGCAACTTTCAGTGATCTATGCACATGGACACCGAGATCTCTCTGCTCAGCAGGGTAATGAAACGTCTGCAGAACAATGAACCAGCTCGCCAAGCCAACCAACTACAACATCCACAACCTGAGCTACAAAACTACTCTAAAACCTTAAAAACAAAAACAAATCCCTCCAGCCCTCACTCCTCAAATACACTCACCCACCACACACTCTCCATGCTTAAGCTCCCCATGGTCCCTCCCATGTCAACCAGTTATGTCATGCACTTATAGAAATAAAATCATTTCTAGGGTTTTGAGAGAATTTGCCATGTTGTGGCTTTACATTCTGTAAAAAGAAACAGCAATAATATTACAATCATGAATCGAATTGTCAGCATCTGAAAGGAGATATTCAAAGGAAAATTCCTTCACAATGAATGAGTCAATGGTC